CTGCTGCAATGAACTCATCAGAGAAGCTACAGGGAAAAAAAACATGGCTTAATTATTTAATTCTTAATGCAATTCCTCCCAGTAGATCAGGGAGGATAGTTTTTCACCAAGTAACTGAAACAATCTCATGAACAGCAGGATGGTGAGGTTCTGACTGACTACGCAAGTTTTTAAACAAATATTTTTGTACTTTAAATACTCAACACACCTTTTCTCTTCCAGTAACTTGGAAATCTGCATCCAAAGCTTAAAACAAAGACTAAAGAGGAACAAAGAACCCTTGTAGTTAAGCATGTGATACAGACCCCTTAGCTAAACACTACACTGCATCAAGATTTGCACACAGGAGTTGCTCAGTCTTCATAAAATGGATGTGTCTTTGAAGATCCTAAATTGAAGTTCAACTCCCCCCAGTTCCTAGCCATGTAAATCTGTTAACATCTTACTAGGCTTCATTTCCCAAGTCAGTCTCAATTCAGTAGAAACTGACTGAAAATACAATAGAAAACATACTAAACCCAGGATAAATACAGATCCCTGCTCTTCTGACAGGAAGAGGAGCAAGAGGTAGCAATTATAAGTAACAGCTCCTGCATCACATTTCCAAACTCCCCCTCTGCTTCAACTCTTCCTCCCATCTGTTTAAGCATAATAAAACATTCAATATTGCACACACGAAATGGAAGTCTCATATGGCAGGCAATCATGTGCAGAACAGAACACTATGAAGACTGAGATCTCAGGTACATTTTACAGTGGCTATTATGAAAACCGGATCATACTGCAGCCACGTCAAAGTGTCTGATCAGCTTGTAAGATTTCGTTCAGGTTAAGGGGTCTCAAAGTAGTCTTTAATAAGATGTATAACTTGCATAGCTTTAATCATTGGCAGAAAATACACATGTGCAGACTAACTCAATGAAAGTGTCCCAAAATGGGTTAGACTGTATTGCCATCGCACTGCGTCACAAACACGGGACAAAAACCTCTGAGTACTCAAGAGATGTTTTGTTCCAGAAAAAACAATCATTGTTCCATAGTTTCAAGAGAAGAAATCCAAACAACGACAGTAATGTGTCATCAAGTGCCCAGCACATTGCTGCTGCTAGCTATCCAAAAGGAAATGCAGCATGAATACAGCAGAATTCAGTGCAAGAGTAAGCAACAGCGTGGTATACGGATACCTGTGAGACTCCTGGAGGTACTGCACAGCAGTAACTGAGGATTTTATGCTGTACAGACTTGTTTCAGACACCCTCCAGAAGAGCTCTGTATCTTCCTCCTGGATCTTACAAATTATAGCAAAAAAGGGGTTTAGAAGATGACCAGAGGCCTTCAAACACTGCAAGAAGCACCCTTAGGTGAGAAAGCAGCTTCTTCTCAAGGCGTGCTTTGACTGCCACATCCACTAGATGGGTTCAGCGCTACATGCAAACAGGAAAATCTAATTTGCTGTCTGATAGCAAGTATTTGGAAAAAAATCATGTAGCAGTTGAAACAGTTCCACACAGAAGAGATTTACAGAACCGTAACTTTCCAAATAATTTTGAGAGCAGCAATCCTGGCTACTGAATGAGACAGAGGGGAAAAAAAAAATCATTCAGTCCTTTTAAGAATTTGCTAAACTACCTGCACTGCAAACATAGTTCTCAAGCGGAAGCAGGGTCAAACAGCAGATTCAAGACAGACTTAGTAGCAAACCCAATAATCTTCTAAATAACCAGTGTTACTCTAACATCTACGCAGTTTTTTTTTCTTGGAGGTTTCATTTCTAAGCACTAACCAGACTAATTCTCTTTAGCCTGCAAAATCAGACAAGATCACAGCCTGAAGGGGAAAGGCTGAGGTGATAAATATTTAATGGGCTACATCAATAAAATTTATTTTGCCAAGGAGAATGGAAGGAGAAGAAAAGCAGAGAAATAATTCATTAAAAGAGCTTCTGCTTAGCAATGCTAGAAAAAAAGCCATGCTAGGAAAAAAGAATTAAACACAAAGATTTTAAATAGGTCAGAGCTTAAGTACTCTTTAACACATGGCAAACTGACAAAGAGCTGAGTTTTTCAGAATGAGAGTACAGTGATATGTATACTTAATAGTAATTCATCCCATTGCAAATATCTAGTAACACTAGTAAGAGTTTCAACTTCTTGCAATACTTCCTATCATGCAACCTTTAAGACCTCTTTAGTACCTGAAAGTGTCCTTGCTCAAGGCCCATTAAGAAATGCCACAAGCACCTCAAGGTTTCCTTTATTTCTCAATGCAAAAGTCTTCCCTATTTTATACGGGATGGGGCAGGAAGTTATGTTTTCCAGAAGACAAAAAAGCAACAGCAAGAATTAAGGTATTTAGTACAAACCTCAAACATTCTTATACTGCAGTGGTCCCCACAACTCAATATAAAGCTTAGTATTTGCAACTTACATCATAGAATTTGCAAACAAAAATGTTTAATCTCTCCTTCCTTCCTGCCACTATTTGAAATCACTTGCAGCGATACAAGATACAGAGCATCGCAGCGTAACACCTTTTCCATCTACTCTCCTGCTCCATCCACTATGGACTTCTTACAAGCAGAAGTCAGCAGGCCAGGCAAGGAAGAACATCAGAAACTCTTGTGTTAATGCTAACTAAACAAGTCCAGGAGCCCATTAATTCTCAAGTTCTAATTCTAGATCTACTAATGACTTGCTATATGGCTTTGAATCACTGGATTTGTGACTTATTTTTATAGGGGGAGAAGCACATACTGTGCAAAGAGGGGCACAGTCTCAGGACACGCAGATTAAATGGTATTAAAATACTTCACAGCTACTTCAGTGAGATTTGGTAGAAGATTTAATATATTTTGAAACCTACCTTTTTATGAGTCTTTGATTTAAAAAGATTTAATAGTTTCGTGGATGAAGTCACACTACTTAAGCCTCCTTAACAGTGAAATACAGAAACGATTAGAAAAACGGCCAACTGTGTCGGTAACCACAACCAAAACCTCACTCCTCAGCTGCGCTGTCACAGGAGAAACTGATCGGTAGCATGAAGCAGTCCAGTCTCCAAACAAGTGATTAAGTGCTGCCCTCTAGTGAGGTCATAAACCAGTTTCAGCATCTAGATTTCTGAAATTCAACAAAATCTCACTCCCAGACAGATTGTAGCTAGTTTTTTCTGTTACAGAAGAATCCTACAGCAAGCATGAAGTGTGCTCATGATTTAATTTTACTCTTCCGTACCAGGGTCTTTAGTTTAGGTTTAGCACTGCAATAAGGTTAAACACTGTTGTCAATTTAATGCCTCCAGAGCATATTCTGCTTTTTCCTCCAACTTGTGAAATCAAGTTCTCATTTTACAATGAATCACTGGCAAAGTCATTTTAAAAGCCCATTACATGAGAAAACACGATATTCTGTTTTTTAGAACAGTATGACATGAATTTAACAATAGGCTCATATATTTAAAATTTTGGACAGGGTTCTAGAACCAGCTTTTTCTCATGCCGAGCACCTTTTTTATAATGCCACTTTCACTGAAGGCTTAATGACTTTACTATTGGTTACTGGAGCACCTTGACTTTTGATGTTACTGCCCAAAAAGCTCCCTCATGTGGACAGATACTAGTCACATTTTATTCTCAAAGCAGGTTTTTTTTTATTGTAGCAGATTCCTTGGCAACTTTTTGCTCATGTATTTAAAAAGAAAGAGGTGGCCAATTCAGGAACAAAGAATTTCAAAACTGATTTTGTTTTAATTAATTCCTAAGGAATTTTAATTCCTAATTCCTTAGGAATTAAAACCACATTACATACAGTTGCTTTTGTGACACACAGGAGGCAGTAAGCACAACTGAGGGTGGTGTTTCTCACTTTCTGGTTTAGGCCAAGCTACAGCTGGCCCATTAAGTTGGGCTGAACTATACCACCTGCATCAACAGGGCTTCAGGTTAATTTGCTCCTCCAGTCAGCAAAATGCTGTTTCCAATCCAGCCTCAAATGAACCTGGCAGATGGAAAAGCTCACACTAAATGCATGGAGCAGAGGTTACAGTTTACACAAAACTGATGTTCAGCATTGGAATACTTCATATGCTCATAATAAAGACATTTAAGCATTTCTTAAAGACATTAGCTTGAATGACAACCATTACAATCTACTTAGTTTTGCTTTCACAAAACATTGGAAAAGGTTGAAACAACCTGCCTGAAAACTTATCAGGTACATTTATTAAGGAACAACTTTAAAAATATACAGATGTTACATTAGTATTTTTGAACTTCCGTATAAAATAAAAAAACTTGTTTGATTTTGTCAGTGTACTTGCATCTGCAGGTTGCAACACCTAGAGAAAAATTAGTACAGAGAATTTTGTTAGTATCTTCCAAACATTTAGCTATCACAAAACTTTACACATGCTTAACATGCAGAAGATGTACCTACCAGTCTGAATGAGTTTATCTTCCAATCAGTAACACATGTGTCAAACAGAACTACTATATAGCTGTCAAGGCTACAGGTCTTTCCAGTTTCCCAAGAAGAGTTTAAAGTGTACAGTAAAATGGTATCTGCACACAAGCTCCACTTCAAACTTCAGTAATTTATGTAATCTAAATTTGAAATTACACAGACTCACGTAGGCTCACTTAGGTGACTTCATGACAGGAGCAAGCCAAGTATCTGCAAGCCTACAGCTGTTTTTAACAACACTGCCTACGAGTTTGATTTAAATATATACAAATTTTTAAAACTGCTGTCAACAGGACTGAGCAGAAATTTAGTTGGACTACCAACTCCCTGTAACAGTATTATTAGAAAAGCTGAGATTGACAAGACAAGCCTGACTCTTGCCCATCGTGTGGAGCCTACTACCTGAGTGATCCAGACAGAACAGTTTCAGATTACACAGCATTAAGAACTTCTTGTTGCCATCTATAAAAAGGTGGAAGTAGCAAAAGGAAAATAAGGTTCCTCAAAACAGTGTTGCCAACAAGTTCTAGTGCTTCTTTTACCTCAGTTACGGGTCTGTTTTCTCCTGTATCTTCTTTTAAAAATCTGAATAATGTTTCAGTCTGAAGAAAAAAAAAGTTGAGACATTTAAAATTTTTCAGTAACCTATTGAGTGAGCAACACAAAGCAGCAACAACTATTCAGTAGTGTCACTGAATATTCTTAGCTAATCTGAAATACAGGTGTAGCAAAGGATGGCAATCATCCACATGCTAGATTTACTTGAAGTGCCATTATAACATGGAGTTCAAGTTCAAGTAAAGGACAAATCACAAGATTTATTCACATTTTTACAGACTTGCTTGAGAGTCTTTCTAAATTCTGCCTGTCAGACTTTGTAAATCATTAAAATCTTATATTAAAAATAAAAAGGTTTTGAAGTATCACATAAAGTTACTTAGTTTAAAAAAAGAAATATTCCTGCTCTGAGTTATCTCTGATCACACCAGCAGAAAAAACCCCCACAACACCTCTCTCTTCTCACACAAAGGCAAACAGTTAAGCTTATGCTAGTCAGACAGCAACGACTGAGTTCGAGTTCCACATTAAAACTAGGATTTTAGAATCCAGTTGTAAGATGGCAAAACATTTATTCCTATGTCCTCACAATAAACCATGAAGTCTTGCCACATGCATCATCCAGCATGTGCAGCAAGCCTTCAAACCTCACTGAGCCTGAGCACAGGGTCACCAAACAGTTGAGGTTGGAAAGGACCTCTGGAGGTCACCTGTTCCAACCCCTCCTACTCAAAGCAGGACCACCCAGACACAGCTGCCCTGGACCGTGTCCAGACAGCTTTTGAGTATCTCCAAGGATGGAGTCTCCACAACTTGCCTGAGCAATCTGCGCCACTATTCAGTCATCCTCCTGCCAAAGACACTATTCACCCTGCCTTTGCAACTAGAACAAACCTATGCTGGGTATGGATGTTAACAATGAAGCACAGATCTTCTTTTAATCCTCTCAACTACTTTTTTTAACGGGGAGAGCGTCCAGTAGCTGGCTTTTTACATACTAGTTATTTCAGAAAAAGACAGTAAGAGTTTTGATAGGGATGTCTGCAACAATGTATATTTTATAATCAGACAAGGCTCATTCTCCAGAAGGGAAAGCCAGCTCCACACTCAATTAAATCATCAGGTGAAATTCAAATCCCAAAGTCAAACCTTATCATTTACCAGTCATCTGCCCAACCTTACAGAATAGAAACATGTTATCTGGGATTAATGAATCTAAATAAGTACATACCTAAATAACAAAGCTTTGCCTTTGTTATTTGCTACAGAGAAAAAACCACTTCTGGGAGAAAAGTCCATAGATTGAGCAAGATAAATCTGTTTTCTTCTGAACACTGGGAAGTTTGAGAATACGGTATATGAAGGAATGTGCACCTATTAGAAATAGGTCATTAGTTATAACAGTTAGGAAAAAACCACTAAAACTCCAATTAAAGTATAAACTTAAAGTTGAAGGTCAATGGTAAGTTCAAATGTTCAGTTATATTCCTATCCTACATCACTCATATATAGAGTTCTACTGGAGAAAAGGTGCAGGGAACTCACTACAAAGCCAGTTATTGCAAGTCATTTATTCTTAAGTAATTACATCAAAGCAATAAAAATAGGCTTCCAAACCCTCAGATTAATTCAATAGTTCTACTGTTGGCCACAATTCTGACAAGGTTTGCAAAATTCTGAATGAGCTAGGAAAAACATCACATCGTAAGACCATTACAGTTAACAGCTGTTGAAAATTCACATTGTTGCCAAGTTACATTCACAGTACTGAAATAAGGGCATTTCAAAAAGGGAAAAACAAAAAGATGTTTTTTTCAGAATAACCTCACTGAAGACAAAAATTATTTCCTTATGAATGTACAGTATCTTGTACATGTCCTGACCTGCTTGGTCTAGCAAATTTTGCAGTACACCTATCCACTCAATAGCAGTTTTATTATGTCACCAGGAACATTTCAAAAAAGCTTGTATTAAAGAAGCTGAACATACCAATTTGACAGCCTCATCAGTTTCTCGGGAAGCCACTGCCAAAATTTCTGTGGTGGGATTGAAGGTCACACATGTAGCAGATGTAACTAGGTTCATTATGGCTTTAGCTGGTTTAGGATGGCTTTCTTTGAGACAGACATCAGTAGTATATAAATTTACAACTCCAGAATCTGAACTAAAAAAAGAAATTATCAAAGACTATAACCAAGAAGAAACATTTACAGTACGTACTACCTTGTTATCTATAGCCACCATGCAACCAAAGATGTAATTTCCAATTATTTACTGGAGTTTGTAAAGATATTTTGTTTGGAGCTTGATTTTGCTTTGGACTTTATAATAGTATTTAGTGAAGGGTTTTTTTGTTTTTGTTTTTGTTTTTTTATATATATATATATGTGAAGAGACACACTTAACTGTGGTGAGCCTTGATAAGCCCATTTCTTGTACAGAATGAATTCAAAGCAATGACAGCATGGTATCAAAAGCTTCTGAAATAGTTTCAAGCTTCGTGATTTTTTTTATACCCTGTACAGTAACTCCACTTAAAAAACCTGCTTCTACAGTGGGCTAAGAAAATGCATACTGTACTTAAGTATTTGCTAGTCTCGTTTAAAGGAAGTGATACTCTAGCTGAAGTTGCATCTCAGTTAAGTACACTTGGAGGAACACTTTCAAGCTTGTGTGTTTGAGCTGAGGCATCTTTTCAAATGCTAACATGCTATCTTGCAGGAGTCAAATGGGGAGTATAGGAAAGAGAACTAGAAAAGGGGAAGACCCTGAATTGACATTTGTACTACAGAATTTATGATTTCAGTCAGTATGATTTCAAAATTAACTGCTAAACCCATATATGGCAACAGTAATACATTAAGAGTGATACTGGTATTGCGTTACGCTATTTTAGATACACACAGAACAGACTGAATTATCTATTCACTTCTACTCTAACCTTACTTAAACCAAACTTACTGCATGTTCTTACACTCTCGCCAGCCACCGGTAAGTTTGGTCAAGAGATTCAAAATGAGATAGGAAGTTGTCAAATTCAAGTCACTTACCCACACGCCACATACTGGTTATTTTTTGAAACAGCGATGCACCTTCCTTCCAAACAACCTTCGTCTTCAAATTTGTGTAGACACTTTCTGCTTCTCACATCCCAAATGAAAACTTCACCTTCCTCTGGTTGCAGAGTAAAGTAGAGAGTAAAGAAACCATACATACAGAACGCATTGCCTATTTTGTTAAAATAAATTTCAGTAGATGACAACTATCAAATACAGGGTATTAAAAAAAACAACTGAAGGCATACTAAAACAGTTAACTCCATTCTGTAACGATTGATCACTCAGTTATATTTTTAGGCCAGATACTGGCATAAAGTCTTTTAATTATCCATGTAAAACAACAAATGAATTACAAAAACTTATGCAATTTAAATGAAATTATGATTAATGCTGTTAAAGAGAATACTTACTTGAATAGCTATATATTTTACTGCTGTCTGGAGTGAAAGCAGATGCAGTGCATCTTCCATTTACTTTCACAGTGCTAACCAGTTCCTTTGTCTATAGGATGAAGAACAACAAAGGTGACAATGATTCTGCCAAAAATCTGTAGGGAAGTTGTTTCCATACTCCTGTCCCGCAAAAATCTTAAGTTAGCTACACTGCCACGAAAATAACAGCATTAACATTTTCAGTTCCTATAGACCAGAGAACAAGCTGATGCATATGAGTCCATGATCATTTATTATTGTACAGCTACAGCTAGTTCAATAAACATTAATTTGCTCCCTTGCTGAAGGGTCTTCATTATATAATGAAACTGAACTTTCTTTTTAAATAGTATTTTTCCTAGTAAAAGTTTAAAACAAATCCAGCTGCCATCATACGCATTTTAAAATGACTGAAAAATTCTATATGCATTATGAATCACAGTTTATGGCATGATTCATGAACACAGTACAGCAGCATGCACTAGCACTATTCCCAAAAAAGCAGTCCTATATTTCTTCCACCCTCAGATGCCTGTTTCCATGCTGATGCCATTCCATTTGCCAGCACAGTGTTTGTGCAATCAACCAAAATACAACATTGACATACAACTTTTTCCAGTGACAGCTTAAAAACCCATGAAACTGGCCTTAGCTCTGCCAGTCCCACAGAGAACTGCATAGTCAGAAAAAATTCTCAGATAACCCAAAATAATTTTCTGAAAATGTAGTTAGTTGATTCAGCAGCTCATTTTTGAAGGCTGTCACAGTATGTGACATACCTCTGTTTCAACTGAAAGCTGTATGGCTTTTCAGATTAAATATAAAGCAGATTCAAAAACGAAAAGGTACCAAGAAACTGAAGCTACATGAACCATGAAGAGAAACTACCTTCATTGACAACAAGTAAAGGTAACCTGAAGTTCCAGTTAGAAGCATAAATGATCCATCTGGAGATACTTCGAAGTTTCTGAGAAATCTTTCCTCCACACCTTTAAAAAGAGATTCAGAACTTCAAATTGGCGTAATTTATTCTTTTTTCCTCAACATTCAGAGGGATGATGAATATGACGAAGACCTGACTTCAGCTTTTCATTTCTGTAATACACTGTCACAGTAAAGCTACAACTCAACCTTGTTTATGTGTGACAATTTTTAACAACCCAGGCAAACTAAAGCTAAAGGTACCCAATTAAAGATCCCCGAAGACAAGTTAAAAATATAACCTCCAGCAATTCACCACACTTCCTTTTAACGCAAATTCATGTCAACTCTATTGGGGACAGCTTCAACTATGCCCAGACACTTAAAGCACTATAAAACATACCTCTTACTTTCTGTATAGGAATAATACTTCCACTCATCATGTCATACACAAAGAACATTTTATGGTGAGTACCAGTGGCTATAACTTGTTCTCCGTCAACACTGAAACAAGCCTTGTAAATTGGAAAACTCTCTAAATAGATGCTCTGTATTCTTGGATTCCTTATACCATCAACCTTATTAAAAAAAAAAAAAAGATTATCATATTAAGGAACATACCAAATACTTCTACATAGAAAATTCCTATCAACTAGCCAGTACAAGAGACTTAAACAGTAAGAGGTACAGAAGTTTGAGAAGAGAGGAGGAGATCAATGCTTCAACCTACAAATAACCTGACTCTTGGTTCTTCACCCTAAGTATCAGGCACTCCCAGCTTTCCTGGATACACTTCACACCTCTTACCCTTCCCTGTCTTGTCCGTGTTTTGTTCAAATAACCACTTTTATTGTGCTTTTCTAAACGGAAGCATTTGCTTTGTATTGTTCTTTCCTGCAGCCCTGTGGGAGTGTCAAATCCCACTTGTGTCTTTGACCATTTCACCAATACTGGACCATGCTGAAAGTTCCTAAATACAGTTATGACCTTTAGTTTCCAGAGGAGCAGGGCAGGAATGTCCCAGGATGAGCAGCTTCCTGCTGCAGTACAGTCTCTCCATCCCCAAAATGATTTCACAGCAATATTACAGTTTTAAATGAAAGTGGACTGCTCCCCACACTAGAGGCAAACAACTTCAGAAAAAAAATAATCTCATTAGTCCTCATCACCGCAAACCTTAAAACCAAAGATTTTTAAAAACAAATCTTCAACTAAAAACTCTGATACAACGAAGTTTGCCTATACTCTATAAGTGGTTGGTATGAAGTCACAAAAGGGAAATTTCTTTCAACAAGATGCCTTCAACCAAGCAAATTCCATTCTAACCATAGACATTACAAGCCCTGTGAGCACAACATTACAAGAAGAGAGAAATCAAAGTCTATCATTCCAGGGTATCTCAGGCATTCTTATTAAAAAAAGTTTCTGTACAGTCATTTACATAGTATAGATTGAAATTCTTCACCTGAAAGAGTGACACAGATCGATCATGTCCAGCAGTCATGACTACTTGAGCAGAGGGATGAAACTGCACAGTTACCAGTTTCCCATTAGCAAAACGTTCCTGATTAGCAGGCACGCAGGTTGCCATCTAGAGCAAAGATCAAAAAGATTAAAAAAGATACAACTTACACATTTTTGCTAATGCTGATAACAGCCAACGTAATTGCTCTTTATTCTACAAGAGCAAGATCTTGAACCCTATGGTGAACTTTTAGACAGCATGACATATGCAGCACACACACAGAGTAAGTTTAGTAAGTTGCTTCAGCACAGCAGCATAGACATAAACTAACTAGATTTTCTAGTGACTTTAAAATTAATGGTCTATGTAAAACCAGTTGCACACTAACTCATCTGAAAGAGCTGTAGATGAGAGTGCAAGAAACATTCATAGTTTGGGTTGGAAGGGATCTTAAAGACCATCTAGTTCCAAGCCCCCGCCATGGGCAGGGACACCTTCCACTGGACCAGGTTGCTCAAAGCCCCACCCAACCTGGCCTTGAACACTTCCAGGGTCAGGGCATCCACAACTTCTCTGTGCAACCTGTTCCAGTGCCTCACCACCCTCACAGTTAAGAATTCTTTCCGTGTAACTAATCTAGGTCTATATGTAAGTCTAGCTCTTTGCAAGGACCATTTCAGTAGTCTCCAATTTGTAAAGTTCTATTACAAGATGCTACTTTAGACTACATAAAATAACTCCTATGTCAAACAATGCATGTCAATTTATTGTTTCATGCTTTCATGATGTGAACATTCCCATTTGTCTGTTCACTCTTCAGAGTTTCAAGTTAGAGAAACAAAGAAGAAATTCATACGATCACTGATTTCACTGCCCAAATAGCAACAAAGGAGTCAAAGTGTGCATATGGGTCAAACTGAGAAGGAAAGATTGGCTTGCCCTTACCTTCAAAATACCTCTTGGCAGGGACTCTGAGTTTGATATGAAATTGCCAGTCCTGCATAGCAGATCGTCATCTTCATCACTGTCACCTAATTAAGACAAAGCACATTAAAAAGGCTGAACACTCACAAAACCTACAAATTCCTTACAGAAGCAGATTAAATCAAAGCACAGTGAAAGCGGGAAGGAATAAAGCTGACTTATACAGCATATTATCACACTACTGAAACTGATAAAACATCAAAATTTTTTTTTTCTAAGAAGCTGAATAGGGAAACACATAAAAGCTTATTAGAATAGTAATGGGTTTGTTTACTATCACTTGCAGTCCTTTTGGATTTCTTCCTCATTTCTAAATCAGCCCAGGCAGGAACTCCCCCCATGGCTCGCTGAAACCTAGCAAGAGAAAGGTAAGGAGGAAAGAGAAAAAACCACAACTTTTGAGAAAGTAATCTCCTTCTATATATTAAGTACTTAAAAAATGTACAGTCAGAATTTCACAAGATTACTTGTACTTGGAACACTATGCAAGTTCTTTGAAAATTCACTGAACTTTCTGTGTTTTGCTGACTTCCTGAATGTGCAACTAAAGCAAAATTGATACCAAACATTAAAACACCATTCTTTGGAGCAATACATGCTAATACCAAGACAACACAATGACATCTAAAGTTCTGCTTTGCTATCTGACTATATTCTCATTTCAGCTCATTCTTATTATAGCATACTAAGTTAGCATCTTCCATCATCCTATTTACAACACAATGCATCACAACAAAAAATTTCTGGTATAATTCCCTAGAAGACAAATTAGTTTGTGCACGTCTCCTAAAACAAGTATTAAAAAAATTAGTCTAGACAATGCTAATGCACATTGTTTATTGTTCTTAATATAATTTTGGATTTTAAAATACTTCTAGTACTGTAAGAAGCATTAGCTTTAAACAAGCCACATGAATACAGTGAGTAAAAAGCAAAGTGATTTTAAGTGTCACATAAACATATCTTATCTTAGCCATAAAAACATTAATGAAACTCACTGTTCTTCAAGTCTTCTTTTTAGCTTTTTCTTAGTAAGTATCTTCTCAGCATCACTTTTCATGAAATCTTTTCTATACCTATGGGTCATATCAACACTAGAGGGTGGAAAAAAAACAAATAACATGAACATCACTCAAACCGATGCCACTTAAAGTCATGGACACATAATTCCTACCTGCAAGCTTGAACTTACTTTTCCTCAGCTTCATCATCTTCATCCACCCAGGCTGGCTTTCTAGGCATGAATTTATTTTTTGCTTCGTTTTCTACTTCCGAATCACTGGAATATTTCTGGAGATTTTGCCTCTCTGCAGCATTAAGCTGAAAATACCAAACAGGCCATTTTAGCCCAGCCACGGCTCGGTGCAGGGAGATGACATGCACGGCGGCGGGGCGCAGGCAGGGGCAAGGAGCCGAAACAAGTACCAGCCC